AGAAAAGTCACACACATAGATACAGGTTGAGAAACAAAAATATGATTAAAAAAATTGGTAAAATAACTTTCACCATATCTGTGAAGAAGACGACAACGATGAAGACGAGGAGGAGCTTAAAAGCTGCTCCAAATACTCAGCCCCCAAATCCTCAAACACCACCACATTTTCCCCATTATGATTACCACAATCGCCCCGCAAATTCCCGGTATTTCCCTTCCGGCCCCGGCCCCCTTTCGCCCTCATCGAGTGCTTCCTCTTCAAAGCAATCACCGGCGAGCAGCCCTCGTCGTCGCCGCCGATCATCCCCTGCAGCGACTCCCTCACCTTCTCCGCCGGGAAGTTCAGCACCGCCGCGGCCCCGCGCATCGCGAACGCCGCCTGGTCGTACGCCAGGGCCGCCGCCTCCGCACTGTCGAACGTGCCCAGCCAGACCCGGACGCCGTTCCGGGTCGAATCCCGGATCTCCGCCGCGAACTTGCCCCACGGCCGCCGCCGCACGCCCCTGTAGGACCTCTCCTGCCTCGTCTCGCCGCCCGAGCTAACCTCCGATTCCTCCCGGGGCGAATTGGATTCGGATTGTGTTTCCGACGGCGGCGCCGCGGCGGCGGCGGAGGCGGCTCCCTGGGCGAGGACGCCGTAGAGGAGCATCTCCTGGGAGTCGTTGGGGTTGAAGGGGAGTGAAACGTCGTCGTATTGCCATGAATTTGATTGTTCTAGTGAGAAAGGGCAGTATTGTGATTGGGGGAAAAAATAGTCCATAGTCTGAGCTTCACTTTGCAANGAGATGATACTTTTTGAACTTGGGAGGGTATATATACCCGTAAAAATGGGGCTTTTATTTTGTGGAAAATTGAAATGACTTTTCCTTTTTAAATATATATGAAAAAAAAAAAGAGAAAATGTTAGCCCATGTGTGATAGGGAAATGTGATTTTTTTTAAAAGGAAAAAAGAATGAAGGGTGAATTTCATTCTACACGTGTGGCAGTGATTTATTGAGTTTTAATGATTTAATCATATCTTAGAAAAGAGACAACACATCGTAGGTTGAGTGATAAGACGTTTGACCTATGATCTACCGGTCATGAGTTCGAGTCTGCTAAACAAGTTTGACTTTGAACGATTATTAATATATTAATGAGTTAAGTTCGAGTTATCGACCCAAATTAAAATAAAAATTAAAAAAAAAAGTCTACTTTTAGTTTTTAATTAATCAGTTTAAACTGGGTTCGCTTATCAAATTGTCTAATCCAAGTTCAGAAATAGCTCATTTCATGTCACACTTATCTGTGTGAAATGTGAATATGTGTTGGTGGCATAGTTAAACTTCCGCCAGTGAGAGTCAGAATTTACCAAAATTTGATACTAGTATTTAAGTTTGTAGTATTATTACATAAATAATATACAGTAATGAGTGGTCTTATTGAAATTTTATTGGGCACGTGGGTCAAACGGATAGGATGACGGCGCGGGTCCCACAATGTTACTTAGGTCATTTGCTTAACGGTTTTCTCTCTTCTCTATTCTTTTAAGTATTTATCATTTATCTTATCTTAAGCATATTTGGGTGTAGTTCTTAGATTTAGGCGGTTTGTATGATAATTTATGGGTGATTGTTTATGGATTCAAACTAGTTTTCATTTGATTTTTTTTTTAATTATAAATAATTTTGAAAAAATGAGGTATGATTAGTTGTTAGTGAATATATTAAAATAATATTTAAATAAAATAATTAAAATTAATTTGATGTAAAGTAAGAGAAATATGATTGGACTTGATGATTAATTAAAATTATGTGAGTGAATGAATAGTGAATTAAAATTGATGTGATGTGTATGAATGATTGGTTGATATTATTTAATTATATTGATAATATTGAAGATAATGGAGTTGAGTTAAAGTTGAGTTAAAATTGAATTTTATTTAATTTTTTCACTATTCAATTTATATTCAATCGCCCCCTTATTACTACTGCATTAATCAATGTTAGCTGTTCGATCTTGTAAACTTTATTAAGAGTAAAATGACTTAAGTTATTCTTATAATCTGCTTGAACTAATGCATTTAGCAACTAATTGGACATTCTAATTTGGTTATATTCTTACAACAAATAGACGGTTGCACAAACTATAATTTATTAACGATATAATATTATTTTTATAATATAATGTCATTAATTTTTTAAAGTATACCATTTGATATCACCTATAATTTATTAACAACAATATAATATTATTTTTATAATATAATGTTATTAATATTTTAAAGTATAACATTTGATTATGAGAGTAAATAAATCGGTTAGAAAAATATGATCATTAGACAATATAATAGCAATATTTATAAATATTAAAAAGGTCATCTGTTGGACACTTGAAACTATTTACAATTGCCATGATGAGTTTCAAATGAAACAAATTCAATTTTGAAATGTGGCGGATAGAACAAATAATTGATATGAGCAAATTAAAAGCATTTGGAAAATTAAAAGCAAGAACACGAAGTCCTCTCAAAACACAAAGTTTTATTTGGAAAATAATCTCCAGAAAGCAAAAGATTTCTCATGTGGATTTTGAGTTTTAAGGTTGATTCTTGAATAATGCACTTCACTTCTGTTTGTTTCTCTTGTTCTCCTATTATTTGACCATCTTCAGTATGGCGTTTATATTTCATTTATAAAAGAAAAGAAGTATCATATTTATCTTTATATTAAAAAGTTATCTATAAACCTTAATCAGGGGCGGACGTAGACTCACGAAACTAAAAGGGCACAAACGTAATTTTTGCACAGTAAAAATATAAAAATATAAAGTAATCATTATCACACGCTCTCATGTATGTATTGTATCCTCCATAATCATGTTATTTCTAATCTTATTAAATAAATCTTTCTCAAATATCAACATTTATTTTTTGCACTGGATATTTCTTTTAATGTCAACATTGGTGGACTTCTATTTATAATATTTCTTCACAAAAATTAAAAACCAGTAGCAGAAATATCAATGACAAATACAATTTAGTAGCTAATTAATTTATAATTATACTTTTAAGAACGCCAAAAATACAATATATATACAATAACAAGAGTTTAAAAATATTAATTAAGTTGACTTTAAATTAAATTGTTGAAACTCTAAAGATCACATTTTTTTTAATTCTTAAATACAGTAGAGGGTTACATATTTATATAATTTATTAATAGATACAACACAATTTGAGTAGAAATTAAAATCTGCGCTCAAAGATGGAATTGTAAAAGAATTAATGTGATACCATTCTTAGAAGAGTTGCCACCTTTTTATTTAATTAAGAGTTAATTATATACAAAATTTGGAGAAAATAAACAATTTACTTAATAAATAACTTAATGTATATTTTTGCAATACAAGTGTATGTGCACTATTTTTTGTTTTTCTACATACATGCCCCTCCCTAGGTCCGCCCCCTGACCTTACGGCAATAGCCCCCTGACCTTACGGCAATATTAAAATAATTACTCATCAATTTAAATTAATTTAATACTATTATAACACGACCATACATATATTGTTTTAAATATATAATAATGTAGTTTTTTAAGAAAAGCTTAAAAGATTAAAATATAATTTTCATTCGTAATCTTTTACTTCAACATCCGTACGTATATATAATTACGCAAGTGTTGTGCAAGTAGTATTATTATTAACATGTTATTATTATCTACTTTGCCTTATTTTTAATTGAACAAAATCAAGCAAGTTAATTGATCAAGTGACACATCAAGATAAGATTTTACAATTAAAGCTAATTAATTCGAACAAATGTAGCCTGAACACCAATTTTATTAGGACCTTCTATATATATATAAATAATATTTTATGAACCACACACTTGTCATATTTATAAGTTGGTCAAGGTAAAGCTGGTCAAAACTCTAGATGCACAAAACTATGACTAATCTAAAAAGAAAAATCTAAACAGCCAAAACAGTACACAGATAATGAAGATTCCAGAAGTAAATTTTGAAACTTCATTTAATACAAACAAAAAAAATACAATTCATATGCAAAACTTAATTAAAAAATCAATAGTAAGAAAATAAAATATTAGAAGAAATATAATATTGTCCAGATGCAGGCCCTGTAATTAATTTACTTTGTGTGCACTGCACTAAATGAAGTCATATTTCTATAGTACTCGTGGGGTTTGGTGGAAAGTCTTCCTTAGAAAAAGGAGTCAATAATTTCAATGAACTGCAAGTTGCTCACTCAAAAATATTGACCAGAATTTAGATGTCGCCTGAATAAAAACACGAGCCATACAAATAATTAACATATTGAATTATAAACAAATATATGTTTGAATATTTATTACTTTTTTCAGAATAATATCAAAATCAATAATCTAGGTCTTACCATAAATAATTAGATAAGTTTGGTAAATCAATGCGATAAAATATATTTTTTCTTACTAGTAGATACTCACATTTTTCACTGAAGATGGACGATTTTATCAAACCTATTTGGTAACAAGTTATAAGTTCTTTTTAACAAAAATGTATATTTTAAAATTAAGATGTTGTATTTCTGAAAAATAATATAGATATGATCGATTAATCCGTCTAAATATTTGATGTTTTGCATTTAACATTGCCCAACAATAATATTTGTGATAAATAAAAATATATGTAGAAAATGCAACACAATGAAACAATTGATGTTGGTCATTTTTGGAGGTTAATAGAGGACAATATTTATGGCCAAGTTGCAACTCATGAGACAGACTTTTCAGAATGGGTCGCTCATGGTTCTCCTGTATCGGAATATTATTTTGGCTATTATTAAACACACCAAAATAATAATTAGGATTGATTTTATATAAAATTCTGGATATTGACTTTTAGGAAACAAAGTCTTCTTAATAAAGGAATTTAAAACATAAAAAATAAAAAGGAGAGGGTTGTTGTTTTGATTTTGCTTGCCAATTTTTCGTGTTTAATGCTGGAAATTGGATTTCGAATTTCATTCTGAATTAATGAGAGATGTTGATTAATATAAACAATTATACAATTTGGCATTGCCTTTGTATTATTTAATGGGACAAAATGTGACATTGCATTTTGTAACTAATCCTTGTCGTCTTGTGGCGGCGACATATAAGTGTCCTTACACTGGTCTGTCATGCTATTTGATAACAATTTTATTGTCTTTTTCCATCGACTACTTTTCATGATAAATGGCTACACTGAAGACTGAAGAGCATAACTTGCTCACTTAAGCGTTTGGTAAAAAACTGACGGTTGATAAACTAATATAGCTTATAAGTGGTTTTCGAATTTATAGTTTCTAATATGTAATTTATAGCTGAAAAATTATCTTATATGATAAATGCATTTGGTAAATTAGCTGATAAACTAGCTGAAATAAAAATTTCAACGAACTTATTGGAAAAATTAACTATTGACATCCGAGTTGAACTGGGTGGGCCCGGGTTTAAGTACAACCGCTCAATGGTGATATAGCCGAGTCGAACACTCAAGTCGAGAAACTAAGGGTAAAAACAAACCCCGAAAGTAGAAACAGACTGGTACCGAGCAAGAAGCAAATTGAACATCCAGGTCGGGGGACCTTAAGTGTAACAGACTTGGAGATTATCAAAGCCAAAGGATAGGTGGCATAAAACATTAAAATAATGGCAACTTGAAAGTTGGGACACGCCCACCCAAAACCTGCCAGCCTACGTGCCACAACCTTATAGGGTCATGTGCTGCATTAAATGC